CCTTCTACTTATCCAGGTAATGGAGGAGTGAGAAACCTCGCTCGGGGGTGTGAGAATAATTGTTGGGTAGCTCGATTGGCTCCCAATCCCTTGCCTGATGCATGCTTCTAGGAACAAGCCAAATATGAATGTTTTCTGTTTTGCCTTCTGATTGTTCTGTTGTGTTCCTTGTGTGCTATAGAGTGTAAATATGTATTTGATTTCAAAATTAGATAAGTTTTGATATGAATTAGATTGATCTGTGGGTTCCTGTACGAAACCATATGAGGAACAATTATGAATATGACTATGTAAAATATGAACAAATGATGAGACATGATGTGAAAGAGAATGTGAAACGTGATGAAATAAGATAAGTTATGATTATGAGAATGTGAGATGTGATGAAATGAGATAAGCTATGATTATGAGAATGTGAAATGTGATGATATGAGACATGAAATTCCATGACAAGTGAAATGTTGAGTTAATGAAATAGTGACTGTGTGACATGCATCATGTGCATATATGATCTATTCCAGGTGTGCCGCTTAGGCCGCATACTAGTGATGTAACAAGCTAACAAGGTGTACCTTAGGGTCACAAGTGATGTAACAAGCTAACAAGGTGTACCTTAGGGTCACCAGTGATGTAACAAGCTATGTGATGAAATGACTTATTCCAGGTGTGCCGCTTAGGCTGCATACCAGTGATGTAACAAGCTATGTGATGAAATGATGAGAAATGTGAAACTTTCGCATGGCGCCACATACATGCATTTATGAGTCGAGTCCATGACATCATTGCAAGATAAATGAGTGTGCATGTGATATTGATTGTGTATGTGTATTGTTTACATGTGACTTATGTTTGTTGTGTGTGTGTGCTATCTAACCTTTATTTCTGCACCTGGAACCAAGTGAGATATTTCTCACTCCCTTGTTGTTCTTTGTATGTGTTTAAATTGTGTTGCAGGTGATCATCAACATGAGGATGTTGGTGATGAGGCTTAGGCTTCAGTTGGACATGCTCTGATAGGATATGTGACATCGGGGCTTAGCTAGGTTTAGCATTGGAGTTTCATTACTGTTATTGTGTTTTGGAAAGATTGATGTTTTATTTTGTCATCATTTCCGCATTGGACTATGATTTGTGAAATATGAATGTGAACTCTCTATCTATGTGTTTTGAAACCTTATTTTTAAGAAAGTTTTATTTACTCAAGAATGTACTTTATATTTATTGTGTATTATGTATGTGGGGTAGAGGGTGTCACATTTAGTATATTTTTTAGTAGTTTGGAACGGCCCGTTCTAGACTACTAAATCACCCTTAATAAATTTTATAAAAGTACTAAATCACCCTTAAACAAACATATGAAAATTGGGGTGTTACAAATTACATCATATTTTTGTATATGATATCCTAGTCTATTTATTTTTATAAGATATCTAAACAATCATTTTTAATGCCATAAGTTGAGAGACTTTTTTTCCTTACCTTTTGATTCAATTCAAGTTATAATAGAAGAGTAAATTCCTATTAATGTCCTATTTGACTGTGACCAAATACCTAAAAAATTAAGAAGAGAGAGAAAAAATAGATAGTTAGAAATAAGTTAACTCATTTGATAGTCCTAAAATGTTTAGGTGAGAAATAAAAACTTAGTAAGTTCCATAGGAGTTTTATTTCTTTGCTTATATGTGTGGATATAAATGAAAAATTTGGTTTGTGCAAAACTACCCTTACTCTAATGGCCCTTGTGAAGACCAAACAAAGACATTTTTGCATAGTCATCACTCTCGTGACCTTCGTGAAAATCGAACAAACACTTGGTCGGTAGTTAATTAAATTATTTTATTGACCCACCATCCTTATGTTAATCAATTATCAATAGTGGATAATCAATTAAATTTATTTTTTATAATTCAATATTATAAGTTTTAAGGTTTGGAGGAAAACAAATCTTTCACTTAGATGTTTCTTTTTACAATCATGTTATTAACACAAATTATATTTTAACTTTGTCAATGACTATATGAAAACCTAACTAGTTATTTTTATTAGGTTATGAGCTCCTAATCATATTTTAAGTCAATTTTAGATATATTATTAAAATAAGAGATAATTTAGATTGAATGAATTTTTTGTATATCATATCCTTATACATTTATTTTAATAATATATTTAAACAAATATTTTTAATGTGATAAGTTGAGGGACTTTTTTTCCTCATCTTATGATTCAATTCACTTGTAATATAAGAGTAAATTTCTATTAATATATTGTTTGATTGCGACGAAATACCCAAGAAATTAAGAAGAGACATTTAAAACAAATAGCGAGAAATAAGTTAACTGATTTGATAGTTTTGAAATGTTGAGGTGAGAAATAAAAAAATGAGTAAGTCCTTAGTGAGTTTTATTTCCTTGCTTATATGTGTGGATATACACAACAAGTTTGGTTTGTGCAAAGATGCCTTCACTCTCATGACCCTCATGAAGATTGAACAAAGACACCCTTGCACTATTGTCACTCTCGTGAATATCGAACAAACATTGGTAATCAATTAAATTGATTCTTTGACCCACCATCCTTATGTTAATCAATTAACAATGGTGGATAATTAATTATTTTTTTTTATAACACAATATGTTAAATTTTAAGACAAATCCCTCATTCGTATGATTTCTTTTATAATCATGTTATTAATATAAAGTATGTATTAACTTTGTCAATAATTATTTGAAAATTTGATTGGTTATTTTTAGTAGGTTTCACCTCTCAATCGTATTTTAATTCATTGTTAGATATATTATTAAAAGGTTAAAATACTTTTTAACCTTTATAATTCTCTTACTTTACTTTTTACTCTATGTTAAAATAGGCATTTTTAGTCCCTACATTTATCTTTTTCAATCCTTTTTAGTTCATATAGTTTAAGAAAGATTCTTTTAGTCTCTTTACTTGCAATTTTTTTTAATCTTTTTAGTCTTTTTTGATTTTTTTTGTAACATCATTTGTTTCCTATTAATGTGATAGAGATGTTAAAGTTTGTGAGGGTAGAAATTTGATCTCAAAAATGGGCGTCGTAAGTAAGGCTATAAAGAGGCAGATGAGTCTAGAGATTTAATTTAGAGTAACTCTAGCATAATAATCAAATACAAAGTTGAATTAATACATATATTATGACAACATTGCAAAAATATTAACAATGAAGACTAAAAGGATTAAAAAACTACAAGTACAAGAACTAAAAATGTGTAACTTAAACTATAAAAAAACAAGTATAAAGACTAAAAAGATCTATTTTAAACTATAAAGATTAAAAGGTAAAGTAACTAAAATTATAGGAACTAAAAAAATATTTTAACCTTATTAAAATAGGAGAGAACTAAGATTAAATTATTCTTTTATATATCATATTCTAGTCCATTTATTTTAATAAGATATCTAAACTAATATTTTTAATGTCAAAAGTTGAGGGATTTTTTTTTCTCACCTTATGATTCAATTCACCTTGTAATATAAGATTAAATTAATTCTTACTAATGTATTGTTTGATTACAAAGAGATACCTAAATAATTAATAGGAGAGAGTAAAAATAGATAGTGAGAAATAAGTTAACTCGTTTAGTAGTCCCGAAATAATGAGGTGAGAAATAAAAAATAAGTAAGTTCCACACAATTTTATTTTCTCATTTATATGTGTGGATATAAACGACAAATTTGGTTTGAGCAAACCTACTCTCACTCTTATGACCCTTGTGAAGATCGAGCAAACACATAGTTGGTAATGCACTAAATTGATTCTTTGACCCACCATATACTTATGTTAAATAATTAAAATTAATGGATAATCAATTAAATTTGATTTTTTATAACTTAATACAGTAAATTTTAAGGTTTGGAGGAAAAGAATCCCTCATTCATATGATTTTTTTTTATAATCATGTTGTTAATATAAATTATTTATTAACTTTGGCGATGACTATTTTAAAACTTGATTGGGTAATTTCAGTAGGGTCTCACCTCCCAATCATATTTCGAGTCATTGTTAGACATATTATTAAAATAAGAGATAATTGAGATTAAATCATTCTTTTGTATATTATATCTTAGTCCATTTATTTTAATAAGATATTTAAACAAAAAAAATTTAATGCCAATTGAGGAGCTTTTTTTTTTCCTGACCTTATGATTCAAATCACCTTGTAATATGATAGTAAATTCCAATTAATGTCTTATTTGATGCAATACAAGAAATGTTACATACAATGATATATAAAAAGTGTCATTATAAGTACAATATATGTATTTAACATATAACTATAGACAATTTTAGTACTGATTTTGAATAAGATTTAACAATATATTTTACGTGTCACTATAACCTATATTTACACTTTTTAACAATATACCAACATATACTGTATATATTATTCGGATAAAAGTAACTTTTAGTGACAAGAATTGTATGACTATAGAGTGTGTGTCACTATATTGCAATTTTCTTATGGTGATAACAACAAAATACCTAAGAATTTAAGAGAAGAGAGTCGAAATAAATAATGAAAAATAAGTTAACTTATTTGGTAGTCCCAAAATGATAAAATGAGAAATAAAAAAATTAGTAAGTTCTAAGTGAGTTTTATTTCCTCGCTTATATGTGTGGATATAAATAAAAAATTTGATTTTTGTAAAGCTTCTTTCACTCTTATAACCTTAGAGGGGTGTATTGGATTAGAATTTTGAAGGACTTTTTTAGTTAAAAAAAATCCTGCGAATTTTAAAAAAAGACAGTTAAATTTTACATTTTTAAAATAAAAAGACTAAATATTTTTATTTTAAAATAGGACTAAAATTTTAAATAAAAAAAAATAGAAGGAACAAGTATAATTTAACTTTTTATTTTTTATTTTTTAACATTGACGTACATACTGTGCATACTATCTAAATTCTCGTCACTAGCCCGCTAAATTGTGTTTAATTTGAGTTGGTTATATTAGTTTTTGTAATTTACTTTTTGTCCTCAAGCAATATTCGAAATATAAAGAGTGCGACATTCATGGCAGAACCGAAGCCAACATAAGGTCTTAAGGTTGTTGACATACAGTTACCATGGCAGAAGCGAAGCTGTGACATTCATGACACACTTGAAATGGTTCAACACTTTGCTTGGAAGCTGTGCGAACAAGATGGTTCGTAGCCCCATGTCCACGTGGCATCATAATATTAGTCTCAAACCACCAAAGCCAAACGAGAGCCTTAGGAAGCACCTTGAATGCAACAGGCACACCAAGGTGCTCCTCCTCTTCAGATCCTTCCTAAGAAAAAGACCAACTTTCAACTCCATTGATAGCTTTTCTCTGCTATATGCCCTCAAAGCTTCTCCCACCCAAGGAAAACAACTGCACACCCTCATCATAAAACTTGGGTACCAAGCCACACTTCAACTCCAGACATCACTTCTCAAAGGGTATGCTGAATGTGGCAACCTTCTTGATGCACGCCAAGTGTTCGATGAAATACCCTCCAAGAACGTCATATGCTGGACCACCTTGATTTCTGCCTATGTTGGCAACCACAAGCCTGGGAAAGCCTTGCAACTGTTCAGGCTGATGCAGATGAGCAACGTGGAGCCTGATCAAGTCACTGTGACCGTTGCTCTCTCTGCCTGTGCTGAGACTGGGGCGCTGGAAATCGGCGAACGGATCCATGCTTTCGTGCGAAGCAAGCAAGAGATGGATAAGGATTTGTGTTTGGAGAATGCTCTTATTAACATGTATGCTAAGTGTGGGGATGTTGTGACAGCCAGGAAGGTGTTTGATGGCATGAGGAACAAGGATGTCACAACTTGGACTTCCATGATTGTGGGGCATGCAGTACACGGGCAAGCGCGCGAGGCTCTACGACTTTTCTCAGGAATGAGCACAAGGATGGAGGGGGATGATTGGAATTCGCGAAGCTGTGTCATGAAACCGAATGATGTAACGTTCGTAGGGGTTTTAATGGCTTGCAGCCATGCAGGGTTGGTTGAGGAAGGGAAGTGGCATTTCAGAAGTATGAGTGAAGTTTATGGTATAGAGCCAAGAGAGGCTCATTTTGGCTGCATGGTGGATCTTTTATGCAGAGGTGGGCATCTCAGAGAGGCCTATGACTTCATTATGGAGATGCCAGTGCCGCCAAATGCGGTTTTGTGGCGAACCTTGCTAGGGGCTTGCAGTGTTCATGGTGAACTAGAGCTGGCTGCAGAAGTGAGGCTCAAGCTACTGAAGTTGGACCCTGGCTATGTGGGTGACAGTGTTTCTATGTCTAATATTTATGCAAATAAAGGCATGTGGAATAAGAAGATAGGTGTTAGGAATCAGATAAAACAGTCAAGAGCTCCTGGTTGCAGCTCCATTGAGGTGGGAAGTGGGGTTAGTGAATTTGTTACCTCAGATGATGATCATCTTTTAGTGACAGATAAGCGATGTTCTTGAGCATTTGAGCTGTTATTTTAAAATAGGACTAAAATTTTAAATAAAAAAAAATAGAAGGAACAAGTATAATTTAACTTTTTATTTTTTATTTTTTAACATTGACGTACATACTGTGCATACTATCTAAATTCTCGTCACTAGGAAGATGAGACAAAGATACCATTACATCATCGTCACTCTTTTGACCCTCGTGAAGATGAAACAAACACGTAATTGGTAATAAATAAAATTGATTATTTGACCCACAATCCTTATGCTAATCAATTAATGAATTAAATATGATTTATACTTAATTTCATTTTAAATATTGGTCTCTATGGAAGCAACAAATGAATGGTTAAATTGAAGATGAGAAGTTGTAGGCAGGGGTGTGTTTGAGGAGAAGGAGATAGGTGGGTGGCACAGAGGTGGAGAGACGTGGCATCGGCGGCGCGAGAAAGAGTGACGTTGGGTGTGTTGGGGAGTTGATGACGCCAAGCAAAAGAAGAAGCGTGTGGGGCCTTCCTTGCATAAAATCAGGCCTAACTTTTTCCTCATTCTTATGTCACCCTCTCCCTCCACCGTTAACACCTCATCATGCTCCCACCCACCCCCTTTACAATCACTTTAATACCCACAACTATATGCTATTTATTTCTTATTATTTATTAATATATCTTCTTATTATTACCATTCTATCTATCCATACAATTGCCCATCGCTTTAAATTTACTTTTACTTCCCTATTGTTTTATCCAAGACATTGTCTAATATATGCCTTTTGTAATTTACTCTTTCATTTTTGATATTCACCTTTTTTAATACATTATTATTAAGTTCTCTTTCTTTTCTTCTTTTTCTCAACTCATTCAATCAACCAGAAAATATATATATATTTTTTTTTGTATTATTGTATATCTGTCTCTAATCTAAAAGGACAATTAAAACTTAATTTATTTACATGAAATCACATGAAGAGAAATCTAAGTGATATTAATTTAAGTGTCACATTACTAATTATATAAATTGGATTTCAAAATCTAAAATTATATGAGAGTTCATCTTAGTTTTATTATTAGATATATTGCATATTAATTATTACACATCAATCTCAAGAATTCTAGATATGAAAAGATGTATCTCAAAAACAATAATATATTATTATAATACAATGTTTGATACAATTTTTTAAAATTTAATCATCTTTTACCTTACACGTTAAACTTGTAAGCACAAATCAAGTCTAAAATATAATAAGTGAGGATAATATTTCACACATAATACATATATCCTCTCGTGCTTAAATTTCTAAGAGTTTTTTATTTATTGTAAAAAATTATCAACAAATCATTAAACTTGAAAGCAACAAATTGTTACTTCTCATTTTCTTGCTTTGTAATGATTCAAATGATATTTTAAACATGTGCTAAATATCATTAATAATAACTTTTTCTTGTGGGTTGAAAATATATGGTTGTAATTTTTTTACTAAAATCAGTTAGTGCTTATAATTTCCGCTGTATCTTTTCAAATTCTTTATTGAGAAAAAGAAAGGACATATGATAATTGCAAGCACTCAAATTATTTGGAATATGGTCATAATTTATTTTGTAAAGAAATTTATTAATAATAGAGTATAAAGGATAAATTAATACATTATGATTCAGTCAATCACGATTTTACTACCACACAAATAAATAAATAATTAAGTACACTGTTTTGACTATGATATATTCCAAAAGGCATACTTTATGATTCTAAACTTATTATAGTTAAAAGTTGGATTTAGGAGATACTATATAAAATAGCCGAATACTTTTTGATTTAGGCGCGTTACCTTAATTTTTAGGGGACACAGAATGATTTATATCATATATAATATATTCACATATTTGCATGCAAAGTTAGAGTTTTGCTTTATAGTAGTAGCCCAGATTTAAAGCCTTTTATTAATTAGTTTATATCATATTCATATTTTGTGCCACACATTTAGTATGTAGAATGTCTCGCATTTATTTGCAGCAGGATCTTGACTTATCTATGACCAGATATTTTATTGCTGGAAAAACCCATCAAAATGTCAACTAAATCATTCCTTGTGATCCCATGAAATATTATACCTATATCAAACGTTTGGGATGTATGTGGTCGATGTATACTAAATCCAGTTATAGGATTTTTCTATTTTAACCAATTAGTAGCACATATATAGTCAATTATCACAAAGAAGAAGATGCATCTAAAAAGTGAATAATTATAGGTATGCATTAAAAAAAAAATTCTAGGTATGTAGGTATAGAATTGGCGATGGGTTTAAATATAGCTTTACTTAACTATTATTTTATTTCATATTTTCTTGAAAGACCTGATCTAATCTCTCACATGCTTTTTGTAGTTTACTCAATAATTTAGAGGATTATAATATTCACTTTTTTTTTAATATACATCATTAAATTAACTTTTTTTATTTATTATTATATCTTGTATCTCTCGACTTTCTGAATCGTTTTGAGGTTATTGTCCACAATATTGTGTCTATTGCTAGTCTAAAGTGTTTTTGTATGCTACAAGAATAAAAAACAAAATTCTATGTAAATAGATTATTTTCACGTTAGAGTGCATAGTGTTTAACTATTACAAGAGTTAATCTATCGAATTTTTGTATCGGTGAAAATTAAACTTGTGATCTCTTTTATTTATTTATTGTATAATAAGTAAATATTCCGAGTCAAACCATTTTAGAAATACTTTTTATAACAAAGAGATACTCATACTATTCAAAATTTTTATCAAAAGATAATTCATATTTGAAAAATTCAAGTGTCACATTACTAATTAATAAAAAGTTATAATGCTAAATATGAGAAGATGTATAAAAAAAAACTCAATAAGATATTGTTACAATGTAATATTTGATGAGTTTATAAAATTTAAGCATCTCTTATGTTACGAGCTAAATTTGTAAACATTAATTAAGTCCAAAATATAATAAGTGAGAATAGTACTTCATGCATAATACATATATTTTGCCTACTTAAATTTCTAAGCTATGATAATAACTTTTGTTTATGAGTTAGAAACTTGATAATATGTTGTATAAGCTTATGAGTTAAAAACTTGATAATATGTTGTTAATTACGATATAATATTTAATAAAAGTTTATAAAATTTAAACATCTCTTATAAGATAAGATAAGCTAAATTTGTAAACATTTGTCAAGTTCAAGAGAATAATATTTCATACATAATACATATATTCTTTTCTCCTGTGTTTAAATTTCTAAGCCGTTGAAAATAACTTTTAAGGTTGAAAATATATGGTTGTAATCTTTTGTACTAAAATCAGTTAGTGCCCAATAATTTCCGGTGTATCTTTCAAATTCTTTTTTGAGAAAAAGAAAGGACATATGATAGCTGCAAGCACTCAATTTATTTGGAATATGGTCATAATTTATTTTATAAAGAATTTTTTTTAATAATAGGGTATAAAGGATAAATTAATACTTTATGATGCAGTCAATCAAGATTTGACTACACCAAATAAGAAAAGTAATTAATTTTAAGCGTGTGGTTTAGCGGTAGGGGTTGATCTACACTTAAGCAAATTCGAATACTACTGTCTTGTGTATGCAACCGCGTTAAATCTTGGGCCAACTATATACGATAAAAAAAAAAGTAATTAAGTACACTGTTTGACTATGATACATTCCAAAAGGCATAGTGCCGATATACGATGAATACTGTAACCCAACATGTAAATGGGAAGAAAAATATCAAGACTGCGATATAATTTTAATGTAATTCATAATTAAAGTGAGACTTATCAACAACTTCTTACCAAAACACGAACCAATTGTGATGTAATCAATTAGACCATTAAGTTATAAACCACAAAATTTTTACCATAACTTTGTTTTTATTCCCCTTCACCATCCCCCATGACGCATGTACAATTTATGTTCATAATTTGAGTTTGGATTGTGAAGAATTTCATTGGGTTTTGTATTTGGAGTTTTGGATTCTTTCAAATTAAACTGATTCACGGGATATATAAATCGGATAAGTATGCTAATTAATGAAAGAAACTAAAACATTACCACTGGGATATTTTATATTCTCTATACATTTCTTAATTTGATATCAAACTGATGAAAATGTTGAGCTTGAGCAACACTTTGTAAAAGGCATATTGCAGTGATTTCACATAGTTAACGATTAAGCCGTGTAGGACTCAAATTGATTTACTTTCGACGAGGATTTATCATGTGCCATAAATAAAAGTACCACATGCTACAAAGCAGACACGTATATTATATTTTTGGACAAAATAAGAAAAAATGAGCCTTTATGTTCTCATGTCATGGCGTTGCAGCTTCAAAACGCAATGCATGCATCATGAAACGGGAAATGAATGATTGTACTTTTTCAAATGAATGAATGGAACGTTAAATAAATAATCACAGATACAGACAAAACCCCTGATTATTTCTTTATTTAGTAAAACCAACAAAACAAAATTATTATATTTTTAGATGTTTGCATTTTTTTTTCTCTCTCTCTCTCTCTTTCTCTTAACACACACAACAACTGACACATGAATTTAGCTCGTTGGGATGAAATTATATTAAAATTAAAAAAGGCCTTGTTCTTGTACCCAAAAGAATCACAAGTAACCGAATAAAAGGAATCAGAGACAGTAAAGGGAAATAACTGAGACCATATTCTGTGTCTTTTATTTCTGTGCTTGATTTTCTGTTGAAGGTGGCTTACAACTGGTCCTACATTGATTTTGTTAAATGTCACATTCAATATGTCTGTGTACTTGCACAAATTCTTTCTTGTTGTTGACTTGTATCTTTAGTTCTTGACTCGGAAAGCTAAAGACCTGAATTTATTCTGAAAACTCTTTTCTTCATGCTAAAAAATTATTATTGAAAAGCAACTTGTCCAATGAATTAACTAGGGAAGGATATATCAGTTTGATATTACAGCAAACATTTTTAAAGATATAATTAAGAGAATGTTGAGACACTAATAGAGAATGTACTGAAATTGATTAGGTAAAAACATTCTGTCTTATCATCCATACACATGAATAGAAAGAGAAGAAAAGTTCAGAGAGGGAGATTCATTGAAGGTAAATGCAGATAAGTTTGTTAATATTAATTTGTCCATGTCAAAGGAAGCGCGTGCACGTGTTTCCAAGAAAGAGAATTCAGAGATTTTGATTTTTTTAATGGTTACCACACTTGATTCAGTCCCCACAATCAAGAATTAAATATGCAATTCAAATATTATGAAAATAAAGGTCATTCTCTAAAAGATTTGCCGATAGAATCTAGACAACAATAATAATAATAAGACCAACCAAATCTTATTCTAGTATTAATTTTAATCCAAGCTGCATACACAGTAATCATGTTCATGCCAAGTGCCAACCAAACCATAACAAACCTAGAGAATCAAAGGACCAAAACAGCGCAACTTCAGAAGATTTCTTACAGTACAAAATATATGCTTCACTATTGTTCAGCACATCTTTTTAGTTAAAATCTATACATACAAACACACAATAATAACAAGGACAACATCAAAATCAAACCCAGAGGTAAACTGTAAATGATGCTATTCTTTTTGAGCTGAAAAGTTGGCTGGCTTTTCTTTTTCTTTCCAATGGAAAATTCTTTATTTGAGATCAGTAGTTCCACAAGGTAGCAAGGTCCACTGGTGCAGCTGAAGCAATTGGATTGTTCTGATTCTCAAAGTGCCTTTTTCCCATATCAAGATTTGACAGAACAGAAGAGATTTCAGCGTTTACATTAGTAGAAACATCTGTTTCATGGGAGACACTAACCATTTCCCTCTCTGCTACTTCAAAACCATTCCTCAAGTTTGATCCTTGATTACCAATGATGGGTCTAAGGTAATGGTTTGAAGAACCGGGTAATGGCAAAGTTGGTGGAGCCTGAAGTTGAACCCCTTGAGTGGAGTAGAATGAATGGTTTGAAGAAACACCATAAAGGGTGTTGGTGTTGGTGATGTTGATGTTGCTGAAGGAATCAAAGATCCCTCTTGGAACATCAATTGGATTGGAGAAGCAGGGCACGTAAGGCGATTCAGTCACACTCAGTGCTTTGGTGTTGCCAATGGAAGGTGAGGAATCAGTAAGAGGTGGCAAAGCAGAAGAACCCAATTCGTTTCCAAAAGAGTCCAACATCATCATCCCAGAAATATGACTCTTCTTCACACCTAAACTCTTCTGAAACACCCTGCAAATCACCCACTCGTTCTGCAACACAATTAACAATACTGAATCAAACTCAATTCTCATGAGAGCATAAAAGTGGTACACAGGAAGCAACATGGTGAAGAACCTACTTAGATACAAACTTAAAAGTGCTTTTGAGAGTTTCTTTGTGAGAAATAACTCTTTACTTTTGGTAGAAAAGTTCTCAAAAACATTTTTAACTTTTATTCAAATAGGTTGGGACCCAAAATCCAAATTGGTATTGGTTATTATTATTACCTTTGCAGTTTTGGGGAGGTTGTGAACAGAGAATTTACCCTCGAGCCTATATTCATGCATGACCCAATCGGTTTTCTCTCCCTTGGGTGCTCTTCCTCTGTAGAAAACCAAAGTTTTCTTCATTCCCACAAGAGATTTCCCTCTGAATATCTCTTTGTCCTTCCCTGTGGCCTTCCAGTATCCTGCCTCAGTGGCTCTATTGGTCCTCAAACCAGTTGGATATTTCCTGTCCCTCACACAGAAAAAGTACCACTCTTTCTCCCCCATTTTGGCCTTATCTATAACCGAAAAAGAAATTCAAACATGCACACAAAATCAAATTATAATTTTGAACATGATCACATAAAAATTAGTCTGCAACCACAATTTCCAGTTGCAACGTCAAGATTTTTAGTCTATGCAACCGTAATTGCGGTCACACATTTGTCTTCAATTTCTGGCAATATCAAGTATCAGAACCAATCAAAATTAACATATTTAGAAGCCAAATATGAAAAACTAAGATGGGTTTGAAAAATCTTTTTTTTTTTTTTGGAACTTACATGGCAAATCCCAAGGCTCAGACCTGTTTAAGTCCACCTCTCCAATGGCCCTAGCTGAGAATTTAGTGTCAGTTACCTTTCTGTAAAGGTAATGACTAATAAGCTCTTCATCAGTTGGGTGAAACCTAAACCCAGGAGGCAAATTCATCTTATCCTCTTCCTTACACAGAACTGAAACGTTTTCCATTTCCACTCACTCCAAAACCAAACCAACAAGGGGCTTAGTTCCCAAGTTTTAATTTTCAAGGTGAAAACAACTTTGTAGGGGAGAAAGTTTTTGTTTTTGTTTTTGTTATATAGAGAATAATGAGGTAGAGTGGTTTCTCATTCGAAAAAGGAAACCCCAGAAAGCAAGAGAGAAAAGGGAAGGATGGTGGTGAGAATCATGGAAGAATTGGAACTGAAATGGGGTGGTAACTGAGGGTGGAGGTGTTAATAGGTAGAGAAAAAAGCAGAGAGAAAAAGAAGCCCCTAAATACTGGTGTGTTGGAGAGAAAGAAACGTGGAATGTAAGGCAACCTCGTTAGTTGTTTTTAGCCCACACTTTTAACTTTTATGCAATCATAAATAATTTCATCACCCTATTTCTCTTTATTTTTTCTTTTTTTCATACAAATTAGTTTTACTTTATTATCTGATGAAATTTTGATAAGTAATTTATACAAAAGAAGAAGAAAAAAAAAAAAAAAAGCTTCTCATATATCAAAATTTTGTATGGACTAGACTAAACACCACATGCATGGAATGTAATTATGATATTGTTAAGTGGTTACTTGGTAAAGTCACTGTTTTGGGTAAGATTAATTTATGTAGAAAATAACCCACTTGGGAATTTTCAAGTATTTAACAGTGATCATCAAACAAGACATTGGTGTTCATTGGTGCAATTATCTCAACTAATAATTATTTAAGATTTTCTTAATGGGAAAGGGAGAATTAGAGTGAGGTGGTGTGGATGCAAAGATTGGTGATCATAGAAAAGCCAGCATCTTCCTTTCGAGAATCAGTTATATCACTTTATTGGATGTGAATTACGAATTTGGCCTTCGTGGTTTATTTGGGGAAAACGACAAAAATAGGGACGGGAATAATAACTGGCTTTTATGTTAAAGTTTCCGAAACTGACATAGCCAGGATATTTCAATTTCAACCCATTCAAGTTCAAAACTGAAGATTGATACTTGCCAGGCCACGAGCCATACCTTTAAGTGCGTGTTTGTTTTAGATTTAGAAACGTGATTTTTCACTCTCTCCACGTTTATAAGCCAATTTACGTAGAAGTTACAATTTTTTGCTTCTCACAAACGTGAATTTTCACGTTCAAAAGCTAAAGCAAACACGTACTAAAAATTGGAACGGTCATCAAATTGATTAAGATACTAGTTGAATAACATAATTTAATTATTATTATTTTTTTAAAAAATTGTTTTATGTTAAATATATTTTATATTTATAAATTTTAATAAATTTATATCTTATTTTAAGTTTCAATTTTTTTATTTTATTTAAAATTATTTTTATTTTTATTTTATAAAAAATACATAAAAAAATTACATGTTAAACTATATATTAATACAAATTAAAAATATAAATAATATGTACATATATAATATACTTGTAATTGATATCACAAAATAGTATATGTAATATCTACATAGATATTATATTATTAAATATATAATATAAAATTAATAATATATTATAAAAGTTATTTAAGTTGTATATATTACAAACAAATACATGAGAACAAGTAGTCATTGTTATATTTAATAAGACTCTTTGCTCTTCCATTAAGAGATTCAATTTTCATTATTATTTTTGTAATTTATGGTCCCTTAAAAAAATAATAAAAAAAGTGTGGTTGAATCGGTTTGACCCACCGGTTCATCGGTTGAACCGAAAAATTGACCGATTCAATCTTGCATAACTGATCTAACTTAACATTCGGACCGGCTGGACCACCGGTTCCTGGTCCGACCGGCTAGTTCGATCCGGTTTTTAAAACACTGCCTCAGGCTCGACATTTTTTATTATTATTTAATTCATAATTTTATTAAAAAAAATTTAAAATGTTAATATTTATATCTATAATTTCACTAAAAATCTTTTAAAAAATTGATGATTAGATCTAACTTTATATAAGATTATGTTTTGCTTTAACTTAAACTTCTCATAAAAAAAATGATAAAAAAAACTTGAATTAGAAAAGAAATCTTAAATACCAACATTAATTTACACGGCTAGTACCAACTTGTGTTTATTAATTAATCAAATTGTTGAAAATTTAAATCTTATTTTTTAATATAAAATAGATTATATTAAAATCAAGAACTCGAAAAAATTAATCATTATTTTTTATAATAATTTTTTTTGTATGAATATTATTATTAAAAGAAATAAAAATCTTGGATGAAGGCAAAGAAGCGAAGATAAATATGCACTTAGCTCTTGAGAAATATAGACACTTGGACATTATATCTATATGCAAAGTTAAATTATGGAGGGTTGCAAATCCAGCATCGACACATTATTTCATCGTTAATACGTAATTTGTTGCTGTAATTCAGGGCGTTAAAAACTCATATATGAATATAACTATTTTATTAAAGCTTTGAGATGTAAATAACTTTGTTTTTCATTCATTTAAACTCTTATTATTTTTATTTAAGGATCAAATATTTATTAAAAATCAAAATAAATAGGTTAATTATTTGATAAATAGTATTAAATGGGACTGTACATGTAAAACTTTATTATAATGAAGAAATATTAGTTATATAATATTAATAAATATTATGTACTAATGATATGGTAATTAAAAAGTAATATAAAAGATAAAAAAATGCAGCTTTCAACGAAATACTATAAACTAATAAGATAAATTCATTTACTAAATACTCTTTTTTCAATCAAAGATATAAATGAGTTAAATAAGTTAGAATTTAACTCTTTAAATTAAATTAACTTTAAAAGTACACGCTATGACTTAGACCAGCAATGAGGGAGTTGATTGCTCTTGGCCCATGGCCGAGGGATATAAAAATAATCAAATAACTTTAATCTAAGGAAGGTAAAAATGATTTTTTGAGAATGAAGTTTTAATTTCATTTTGTCACATTTAAAAAAAATCAATTTCCAAATTTAAACTATCCAAACCAATTTCAATTTCTACCAAAATTTTAAACCTCTATTTACATGTAATATTATATATATATATATATATATATATATATATATAATTATGATTAGAAAATATTTGTAATAAAATTTATTAATTTAAATAAAATAAAATAAGTATATTATTTTGAATGTGAAATTTACTCATTACCTATTTGCTCATTTTGGCTTTACTTATTTTAAGTTTGTTCATTAACTGTTTTGATGAAGTTTGTGTATAAATTTTGTATGCACAGAAAAAAATTGATTTGAACATTACTTAGATATAAAGTGAGTGTGGTTCCTTTGGGACATGCATAATGATACACTTGGAAATATTATTAATCAATTTAGATTGTTGGCAAAATTATAGAAAATGTTAAATTAGTCAAAACTAAATTTTTAGTAAATACTACATTAGGAAATTTATATAAAATAATTTTAAATTAATTAAGATTAAATTAAAAATTTAAAAAACATGTTAAGTACTTATACAATATTGGATATTAATTTAAATAATTTTTAGATATCCATAATTTTAGACCTTTATTATAATTAGTAAATTTATGTTAGTATAATTAAAAACAAATTGTTAGTTACATAATGTTAGGCAATAAGAATTTAAATTAAAAATATATTAGATTAGTGATATTAGCTAGTCAATTTAGAAGATATTAATTAAAAAAAATAAAATTTTAATTAAAAAATATTTTTATTATACTATAAGTTAGTAATAATTAAATGAGCACTTTAATTATTACTAATTTAATTTTTTGTTGTGTTGACATGGTTAATTATATGTGTATATTATATTGTTGATTTTATATATGGGTTATAACTAAGCATAATTATATGTTTAGTTATCTCAAAATGTCTATTATAGTTGTTAGGAATATTGATCTCGATTGTAAGTAAATATTAATTTTCCTTTTGAGATTGAATATAATAATTACACAATTAATTAGAATCATTATATTAAATCTTGAATTATTTGTTTGGACAATTTGAATATATATATATATATAT